ATCCATGTAGTTCACGCATATATCCGATTCTGATGCAGAAGTCATGTGAATTTTGACTCCATAATCCGAGCAGGATAAAACTACAGGGGGGCTACGCTGTTCAGGAGCATAGTTGTCATGCACATGGTGATTACTAGTGATTACTGATATGCGTAGTGCTTCAATTTTTTTGTGCTGGATGTATTGGATGATCACTAATTTGCACTCTTAGCGGCTGTTTGCGTATATCAGGTGCTTCTGCTGTGTTTTTTTGAGGGCTTTATTCATTTTATCTTTGTTCCCTTCTTCTGAATTATTGACTCATTCTTCTCTTCTTCGCTGTCTAAAGAAGATTGGATTTCCAGAGGAACAATGCGATTGACAGGTCTTTGCAAATCTTTTCCAGAACTATTTCTCAGAATCGCACTTCTGTTGCCGTTCTCGCTTAGAACGAGCTGCGTTAAGCCCGCCATCGGCCATTCTTTTATTTAAATAAGCATCGTCGTCCATCAATACGGTATCTCCAATTTGAAGTTCAGAATGCCGAACGTCCTTCGTTAAGCACCTGATGACGGTCTCAAAGTTTAAGGAGGTAGTCGTGTTTCCAAGCGTCCCAAAATCTTTTGCTTATCTTCTCAGTTTCAGAAAGTGCGTTTTTTGCTTCTTTTTGCGACATTAGTTCTGGTGTGAGCTGATAACTGGGTCTTGCTCATCATTCTCGGTGGGTGTCTTTTGTGTAGTCCCAAGCCGAACGTCCTTATAGATGAAGTCCACTGGTCTTAGGAATTGGCATAGAGGACTATCGTTACCAATGTAAGTTAATGGTCGCGAATTAACAATGCTCTCAATCTCGAATAAGGATGTTTGTAAAAGTTCTTCCGATAATTTACCGTCCGATGGTTTTTTGCATAACTCTTTTTACCATTCCAACCATCCTTTTCCAAACGCCCCCATCCATGGTGAGGCTGGGGAGTGAAATACCAAGAGATGCGATGTTCTGCCAGGAATACTGACAAATGAGTCTCTTCAGTGACTTGGATGCTACTGTTTAGAAGGAATTCGCTGAAACGGAAGTTGTTCCATTATCGCTAATGATTCTTTCAGGAACTCCTGGCCGAGCAACAAATCTCTTCAAGGCGAGCAGAAAGCTTTTTGCCATGAGAACTGCTCCAACTTCCAGGTATACTGGCCGGGTGACTAAACACGTAGACAGTGCAACATAGCGTTTCTGCCTACCCCGTTCAGTAATTTGATTAGAAATGGGCCCATGTAGTCGACTCCCGAATAAGCAAATGGTGGTGCTTGAATTACTCGCTCCTTTAAAGGTACCATATCAGAATGTGCAACGGGCAACGAGTTGAACCTCTTACACGTCGTACAGTTGCGATATTTTCTTGCAAAGCACTCTATTTTTTGGAATGCAGAAACTGACGGAGTTCGCATTATAGCTGATTACTACCACAGTGCGCCATATGTCTGTGGATAATTTCGACAATCCTAGTACACAAAATGCTTGCCGAGGCACATACATAGGATTGGCTATATCGTCAAGGATACCGGCTGTTGAATTCGTCCGCACCTTCTTAGAATGCCGTGGTCGTCGTATGTCGTTTTCACATGTTTATTTTGAGAGATACTTGTTGTTTCGTAGATTTCCTGCTCTTGTAGTATTATGTACCTCTCGGCAAGTGTAACTTCGGGTGCGTTTGGCGAGCTTGTTTTCAGTTTCATTTGAGAGTTTAAAGAGTGTGTTCTTAATTGCTGACCGAATGAACAGGACAGTAAGTAACGATTCTTTTCAGCTTTGAATAACTGCTGATGGTTTCAGTAGGCCAATCACTATCTTTCCTTCTGTCAGAATCCTCGATGGTCTCATGGACAAGCGCTTCGCATCCTCATAGTTGCTTTCAATTGTTCATACGAGTTATTGGCCACTCTTCTTTAGGACTTTTGGGCCAAGTTAGTCCTTGCCACTACTTGCAATCAACAAAGTCGTACTTTTTGATGCCTCTTGTTGCGCAATCCGCAGCGTTCTCCTCTCTTGGGACATGGAGAAATTTTAGCTTTGTTGCTTCAATTCTTTCTGTTGCAAAACCAATCTTCTGCACCAGTGCGGCAACTAGCAGCGAGAGCTTTTTGTTGCTATTCATGATAAGGCTATTGTGGAGTGGCTAAATAGGTTGATTTTTGCGAAGTTTATCGCACATTTTGACATGGTCATTTCTGCCACAGATAGCCCGAGGAAGATTGACAGTAGCTCCAGCCTTGGAATAGTTTGTTCTTTTTGAGTGGCGCAACCTTCGCTTTTGTGGGAATAATGTCGCATCCATTTTCCCGTTTTCTGCTGTTGTAGTGAGTTACAGACAGCAGGCGTAAGCTCGTTTAGAACTCAACAAAAATAGAAAGCTTATACTCAGCTTTGGGTCTCTTGTCCATCACTTTGCGTGGAATAGTTGTTTCGAAGCCCACGACTCCATCTTTGATTGCACTCCATCTCTGCGACTCTTCGTCTGGAAGAGAAGCGTCCCATCCTAGCTTCTGTTTGTGTATACCTTGATGGGAAACCTCGCCGGTATAACCAATGGGGTGAGCAATCCTAGAGGATCGAAGCAGGATCCATTCATTTAGCTGAGTATGGTTTTTTAGTGGCTTTTGCGTGTTCTTTGTCCGTGCATTCCAGGATTAAAGTATCGTTATCTGCTTTTTACTTCAATCCAAGCACTATTATCTCCTGAGTCTTCGCCCGATCCGCGGTTCTGATTTTGGCGTTGACAGCGCCGCAGTTTGACAGGTAGGTGTTTGGCGCTGCGTAGTTCTCTATGAATTTCTCTGGACTGTTGCCTTTCAGAAGCGCATTGTCCACATACATAGAGATTTAGATAGCTCTTTTCCAATTGACGTATATTTTTCTTCAAAATGCTCAAGTATAGATTGACCCAGGATCGCTGGACTTGCGTTAATTCCAAAAGGAACACTGCAGAAACGATAGTATTTGACATTGTGACTTTTTAGTGGAGCATTCAAATCCTTTCATAAAAATCTTGTAGCATCTCGATGGTCTTTTGAAAGCCGTATCTGTGGGAAAATTTTCTGGATATCTGCCATCATCGTATTTCTGTAAGCGCGGA